GATTTCTTTTATTTCTTTACATCTTGAGTATCTTTATACCTCTGATAGCTTTAAGCATTATTAACAAATATCAAATTAGTTTGTTTGCATCTCTGAAATTTTGATCATCTCTTCAAGATGCTGTTTATTAGGGAGACAAAAAAAAATTAAATTAATCAAATTTGATAAATCAGTGTTCTCATAATCCTTAGAAATCGGTAAAGTCCTTCAAAAATACTTAGTTTTATGGTCCTTTACAGATTTTTGCAAAAGTATTTTTAAGAAGTCCTTAAAAATATTTAATTATTTACAATTGACCAGACCAACTTATATAAACAATTATACATGCAAAAGTAAATTATAAAAGTAAATTACAAAATCTTTCTTATGAACATTCAGAAACTAGATAACAGAACAGTCAGTGTTATTACTTTGGTGTTGTTTGCATAAGTAGGTATGATAAATTGAGGAATTAGAATAGACACTTTAAGACTTGGAAAAGACATATGAATTTTACTTGTCTTATAATATATCAAACAACTTTTGCTAGAAACAAAGGAAATCTTACTCCATGCTAAATTGAAATCAAAACTAATGACATCACTCGTGTTAAACGGAAAATGTAAAGTGCATTATCATTGTTGTATTCAGCCAATTGTGCACCTCATATCTTTAGTCCATCTGTATGTCTCTAATCTGTGGATCTGGCAGCACAGCATCACTGGGAAGTGAACTGTTCTTTGATTTTAGTGATTTTTCTTGCATTTTGCATTATTTCTTCTGTTTTTTTTATTTCATAAGCCACCATGGTACCTAAGAGACCTATTGTAAGCATAAAGGAAAAGAGTGAAAATAACAATAGAGATGAAGAGATCATATGGAAGCATGAAAATTCATTTGTGTCTGGCTTTGCAGTTTGACTTAGGAAAGTCAAGGTCAAGGAAGCAATAATGTTGCCAAAGGAGTGGCTATGATTACCATGCAAAGATTGCAGACTTTAGAAGTGGAAAAGTTGCTCTTGATTTGGATTGATAAAAAGCAGTTGGCTGGCAACAGTATTTTGGAGACTATCATTTGTGAGAAAGCAAGGCTTTTACACCAAAATTTGCTCAAGAAAACCCTAGGTTTAAGTTCTAAAAGTGATGGGTTTAAGACTAGTTGAGGCTGGTTTGAAAAGTTCGAGTGAAGTGTCATACACAGCATGGTTAAGCATGGAAAAGCTTCAAGTTGAACAAAAAATATGTGGAAAAGTTTGTGAAAGAATTTGGGGAATGTGTGACTGCTGAGGGTTTTATCCCCAGCAAGTGTTTAATTGTGATGAAACTGGGCTGTTTTGGGAAAAATACCAAACAGAGGAACCCATAACCCAGGAGGAAAAGGTTTTGCCTAGACACAAGCTAATGAAGGACAGGCTAACTCTTTTGCTTTGTGGCAATGCTAGTGATGATATTAAGGTGAAACCATTGTTGTGTATCATTTGGAGAACACCTGTGTGTTTAAAAGAAATAACATTATGAAAAGCAAGTTGTCTGTCATGTGGAGGACTAACAGTAAGGTTTGCATAACCAGACACTTTTTCCTGGAATGGGTCCATGAAGTTTTTGCTCCTAGTGTGAGGAAATAGCTTAATGAAAATAACTTGCCAATGACGTGCCTGCTTTTGATGGACAATGCTCCTGAGGCTGACTTATTGGAAGCGTTCAATTTCATCACTGTGAAGTTTCTGCCTTCTAATATGACTCTACTGATTCAGCTGATGGATAAACACATTTCTAATTTTAAAAAAGTGTTACACCAAAGCACTTTTTCAAAGGTGCTTTGAGGTTATCTGACTCTGACATGGAGTTAACTCTTTCCAACTTTTGGAAGAACCACTTCAATGTCTTTTATTGCTTAGGTCTTATTGGCAAGGCCTGGCAGCAAGTGACATGCAGAACCTTGAACTCAGCCTGGAGGAACCTCTGGCCTGATTGTGTTGCAAAAAGAGACTTTGAGGAATTAAAGACTGAGCCTACTAGAGTTATTGACATCATCATATTACTGGACAAAAATATGGACCTGGAAGTTGATGTTGCTGATGTCAAAGAGCTGGTGAAAAGGAGCAGCTGAAGTATATGCTTGAGGAGATGCCCGAGGAGGAAAAGGAGGATGCGCCTAATGCTTTTATTAGTGATGTATGGGGTAAAGTGCAAAGTTTTGTTGAAAGGTATCATCCTGATAAGGCAATAGCAAGCCATGTCATTAACCTTTTCAATGACAATGCTATGTTGCATTTCCATACCATTGTGAAATATAGGCAAAAGCAAATTTCATTACAAATATTTAGTGAAAAAGAGACCTAATGAATCTCAGACAAAATTTGCTAGTGAGAAGCAGAAGTAATATCCCATCTTTTTACCTCCTCTCCACCCTCCATTTGTGCCATCAAGACTTCTCAGCAAAGATAAGGATGAATGAAATTGTTTTTACAGTCGACCCCTCCCTATAACACTGTTGATTATTCTGTTTTATATGGATTCCATATTGTACAAGTCACTTAGATTTTACAAATATGTGAGCCGTTCACAGCCTGGAACATGTATTTGTAAATTCTAAGTGACTCGTACAACATGGAATTCATATAAAACGGAATTATCAACAGTGTTATAGGGGGGGTCGACTGTATTTATAAACATTGTTATTCAGTTGGTGTGTTATAATATTATGTTGCATTTGTAGGCATTTTTTATGGATGAAATACAGCTAAAAAGATAGAAAAGGATTTTGTTTTGGTGTTGGGAATGGATTAATCTATTTTACATTCTTTCTTATGGGAAAATTTGTTTGAGACCAAATCGGTTTCCAAACAACTTTTAGGAATGAATTAAGTTTGTAAACCAGGGTTTGACTATAATAGTTTTTAAATTTACTAATAAATAAAATTATTAGTAATACATCTCTCTCTACATATATAATCCTGATATTTTTTATCATCTCATATGTTGCAGGATCTGTTAGTGCAAGTTGTTATCATTTACAATGTTGAAAAGTATGTCTCTGATGGCACAAAATACTGCTGGGATTGATAAGGCCAGGGCACTAACTATTAAGCTAGAGAAGCTAATACATAAGATACTCTCGCCTAAGCTAGAGGGATATTCTTATGCTCTGACACACCCAATAGACCTAATATCACTCCTCAAGGAAATATCAACGCCTCCTACCTTCATAACAGTCTTAGACTTTAAATCCCTCTACCTGTCTATTAAACTCCCGGCAGTATTTTGCGCCATCAGAGACGTACTTTTCAACATGTTGCAGGATATTTGTTTATATGAAAATGAGCATTTATGTTAAGTGAAATTTAGTGATTGTGGCAGGCAAGTTGATTTTAAAAATCAGCCATTATTGGTATATAAGACATTAGCAGATTAAAAGCTGTTAGAAAAGAATTTATTGCCTTTCTACACAAAAGATTTTTTTTTAAAATAAATTTTACTCTATTAATGCCAATATCAATCTGTCCAATATCATTGTATTTAATCAGATAACAAATATATTATTTTAAAATGATTCTGTACTGATTGATTTAGAATTATATTTTTAAACTTTTAGGTTCCAATTCCAGTGAGATTTATTTTTGTTTTACTTGGACCAATTCATACAGAATTAGATTATCATGAGATTGGACGATCTATTTCAACTCTTATGGCAAATCATGTAAGTAGATCTTGTAAATTTTATTTGTAAAGACTGTAATGCTTCAATTATCTAAAAAGAATAATTATTATAACACTATTTTGTCAATTATGTACTGTATATCTATGAATATTAATCTCAATACTTTATAATAGTAAAATATATTTTGACCTCTTAAGAAAATAAATTGCTTGTGTGAAATCAATCATAATAAAATAAGTGTAAAAATCATTTAATTTTATTGCTTGTGTGAAATCAATCATAATAAAATAAGTGTAAAAATCATCATCATTCCTTTTAACTTTTAATTATATGAAAATNGGATATGAGTTAAATTTATGAAAGTTGTTTTTGATGCTGTTAAAATGGAGTCATTTCAAAGCTTCATTGGTAAATAAATTTGTTTAATTCTTATTGTTTTTAATATTTTTATTCATTAATTAAATAACTAACTGATACACTTGTATTACCAAACAATATGCTGAATTATTTATTGCAGTGTATTAGGATTTATTAATTAATTAGATACAAAGCAATTTGATTAGCGATATATGGTTAAGATGCCATTTCCTGATAAATTTAATAAATAGGAATAATTTATTTTAAATTTAACTCTGAGAGTAAAGATTGGATGGAGGATGATTGGCAATGCGTCTACATAGTAAATAGGAATTGCAGGTTTGAGTCACAGGAGTTCTGGACTGATCTTTCCTTTTCTTCCAAATCAACAAATAAATTAATTTTAGATTATTCTAAACTAAAATTAATTTATTTCTTATTATTAAATTCATCATGAGACAATTGCTTAATCATGTATCAGTTTCTGTAGCCAAATTGCTTTGTATTTAATTATCAATTAGTTTTAATGTAGTCAGATAAATAATCCAATAAATCATTTGGTAAATAAAAATAATTTCATTACTGTATTTTCATGTATGTAATGCAGAATATTGCTAGAGCGAAAACAAAACATTCGCATATTGCACTTTATTCTATACTCCATGGGATATACATACCTATGGGAACAGTCATTTTGCTATAGACAAAGGTTTGTAATTACAAGTAAAAATCAGTGTATAATTTGCCCCCATTGGATAACTTTGCATTCCTTTCAGATTATCTTTTAAACATTGTTAACCTGTATTATACACATGAAAATATTGTAATTTAGTTGTAAATCCAAATTATAATGAAAAGAGCTAATTTGAGTTTTGAATTAAGATGTAATTTTATTGAAAATTACAAAGGTATTGGTTATTAAAGGATTTTACTGCTTGTTTATAAACTCATTTACTATAATTTATTATTATACAGTATTTAGTTAACTTTTTTGAATTTATTAGGTCATCGTTTTGAGAATCCTCGTGGTATTCGAAGACATAAGATTCAAGCTAAAAGTTCTGTATCATCATTTATTCACCTCAGTAGGAAAGAAGGTGTAGATGTTAAAAGTTTACCTTTTGTGAAGAAACTCTATGATCATCAGCCTCATGAGGTAAATTTAATAGCAGTATCTATAAAATAAATAAATTAAATAGTGATGTTTTAAAAGCTCAAAACTTCTTTTTAGATATTTGTTGAACTTGATGAGTTAGTTCAAGGTCCTGCCCATCAAGATCTTGAATGGAGAGAAACTGCTCGATGGATTAAATATGAGGAGAATGTTGAAGAAGGGGCTGAACGTTGGGGGAAACCCCATGTAGCTTCTTTATCATTTCATAGTTTATTATCTCTTAGAAAATGTCTAGAACAGGGTAAATATAATTTACTGTTTATTAAAATATTCGTCTAATCATGCTATTTCTAATTAATATTTGTAATTAATTTTTGCCCAATTACTTGGCTGATGGTTGGATGATTTATTTGTTTACGAAGTATAATATATATCTTCTTTATCTCCTTAGGTACTGTGCTGTTAGATTTGGAAGAAAAAGATTTACCTGGAATTGCACAAAAGGTTGTTGAAAATATGGTTGCTACAAATCAATTAAAACCTGAAAATCAAGGAGCAGTACTAAGAGCACTTCTTTTGCGACATCGTCATGTTAATGATAGGAGTTTAATGTTTGGAATGAGAAGAAATAGTTCAGTTTATTCAAATCTCAATCAACTTGTGGCAAATGATAAGAGCAAGTAAGATATTATAAATATTATTTTAACTGTTCATTTCTAAGTTAATTTTTATTATCTTACTTTAAAAAAATTAATTTTTATCATCTAAAAATTAGACTAATAAGCATTATCTTTCAATAATTTCTTGCAGAACTGGAAGAATAACATTTTCAATCTAATTTTATAGGTCTTTCTCAGTTGTCAAGTATATAATTGATATCAAACAAACTGAATAAAACCGAACTTGATGGGCTAGTTCAAGGTCCTACCTATCAAGATCTTTATATGATCTTTGTATTTTTAAATTTATTTAATTTAAAGTTTAAATCCAAAGCAAAAGTTTAAAGTAAAAATAATGAACAATAAATATTAAATTGTAATAGTAATACATAATGAAATCTTACTTAATCAAATTTTTTAACTGATTTTCAAGCAGTTGCTTAAGTGTCTGTGTTGCAGTAGTTAACTCAGCTGTTGTTTCTATTTACTTTATATATCTCTAACTCCTCAAACTACCTAAGGAAATTGAGGTCATTGGCTAGTTGAACAATATTGGCTTCATCACAATTAACTTGCACCTCATGATGGCTAACATATGCTGTTAGGAATGGATTGTCCAGTTTCTTGTTAACTGCATACAGGTTCTTTAATCCTTTAAGGCAAGTTGTGCCCAGGAATATGCCATCTTTCTGTTGAGGTGGAGGTCTTCAGTCAGAATGGAATTCGTTCCAGAGGAATTGTCATAGTTACAAAGCATTTTGTCATTCTGTAAGTGGAAATACTGTAGGATTTCCACTTAGCCAACCATAATAATTTAAGCCTGGTTTTTGTCGTCTTATATATATTTCATGAGATGAGAAAAGAATGCAATTCTCCTCCTGTCTTCACATTTCACTTGACTCATTTTCTGGTTTTGGGTATTTCAAAGGTGGTGATTAAATGTTGCATCAATTTCATCAGATAATCATGTTGTTTCAATATATTTTTGGTGTAATTAAGCTCAGTGTGTCTAGGTTGCTAGTATAACATATAAAGGATCTTCTTATTAAAAGATCTGAACACAGAGAGCTTTAGATGATGGGGAAGTCTGAGTTTTATTCCTTATAACAAGTGTAATTTAATTATTCTTATCATATTGATTTATATATTGAGAAAAAATATTGATATATATATATATAAATACTATAAATAAACTATATTATTATTTTTCAATATTGAGAAGAAATAAATTTCTAAGTGTTTGTACATAAAAGTAAATAAACACTCTCCTCCAAGAAATAAGCATTACATGCAAATTTTCAGATAAAAAGTGAATATGTGCATTTTATTGAATAAATTTGTTGTATACTTTGAGTGTAATATGCAAACATTGAAACATGAGTAAAATGCCCATTGACTTTTTATTCAAAATACACAAATTAACCCATAGGTAAAAACAAATGTTTCATTCTGTGCTTTGCAATTACAGATGCGACAGTGAAATTCCAAAATAGCCAGATTGTTTACTATGTCCCAAAAAAAGACATTTCAACAATGGTCAAAGATGGTGAGCAATGAATAGGTTGGAATCCAGTCAGTCTATTGGAGAAGCTGCTTAATTCTTCAGAGTCCACTGTTCTGTGATTTTACCCTTTTCGACCCAATTCCAAATCACAGTATTGAAAAGCTCCAATGGGCTCTCATAAAACAGTGGAATTTCTGCCTTCTGATAGCTGGCATGAATTATTCTTATGCAGTCTGCATTAGTGTAAGATGAGGTCATATTTCTTATTGAAAAATATTTCTCATTCTCAAGTATGATCTGTCATTTTGTTCATTTTCTTGAATATTCAAAACTCTGTTTATGTAGTATACTAATGATAGGCAGAGTCCTATTCTGTTAACTGTAAAATTTGAAATAAATTGCTGTAGTAGTTTGATTTGTGTCCCATTTTCATGTTTATTTTTTGGAGGAGACTGAAAGTTTCAGGATAATAAATTCAGTTATATTAGATATTTTATGGTTAAAATATGTAATAAAAAAGTTTATTTTGAATGTCATTATGTAAAAAAATATATCATATATTTATTTCAAAAATGTTTACATTTGTAAATAGATCACCAAAAATTATTTCTATGGGAAGACGGGCTTCTTCATATAGTCCTCAAGAAACAGTGGATAAATCAAATGGAAAGCATAATCAGAATTCAATTAAAACAGTATCATCAGACACTAAGGTAATATTATTTTGTGTTTTTTTTTTATTTTGCACTACAGTGACCAAACAAATCATTTCAGCTCCAACCAGAATTAGAGGTNTTTTTTTTTTTTTTTTTTAACTGATCTATTTTATGCATTTAGTCATTGTAGTAATAGTTCTTTTGTTACAGCAATGTTTAAAATTTAATTTTGTTAAGGTTGTCCATACTTCCAAATATGCTTTTCCCACTCCACAAATATATTCCCTTCCATTAAGTCAGTTGTGCATTTATTTATCATATGTTTTGAAAACACTGACTAACTATGGAAAATAATAAAGAATTATGATACAATCCTTTTCAAATATAAGCCTCCAGAAAATTGATTCTGCAATATGACATAATCAGTTTAGAAAATATTTCACTTAATTGCTCTTAACTATACTTTATAGGTCATTTATATCTGATGGTAAACATTTCACTAAGATGTAGCAGTTTGTGGAGTACTAACTTATCAGCTGAGACATTCTCTATAGTGAAAGAGTAATATTGGAAGACACAAGTTCTGTGACCACTTGTTTAAGTTATATTTGTTATATTAAGAATAATGTTAACATTGCCCATTTCTATAGCTTTAGTAGAATATAGTTTTTCTCAGTTAAGATTAACCTGTTTAAGGCCATATCTGAGTTGATTTGTAGAGGGCACTCTTCATCAATTTGAAATTGCTTGAGTTAATTCATTTGCCATTTAGTACATTTTTATTAAAACATGATGGCATTATTTGTTATAATATTGTGTGTTAGCACTTATTCAAAGTTATAATATTGTGTGTTAGCACTTATTCAAGTCTCAAACATGATAAAATTTTTTTCTGTCCATGCTCAGTGAATATACTGTTGTAAATGAGAGCTTGTATATGAGTACAGTAATACCCTGAACTTACGCAATAGGTGGGACCAAGCAATAACCGTGTGATGTTCCGTTTGAGGGCAATGTATTATTGCGAACAGGAAACAAATAAAACGAGTAAGAATACTAAAGATTTTTATTCTCAAACACAGGCTCTTAATGCACTCCCTACTCAGTTTAAACGAACGTTTGCCTGTCTGGGGTACCTTCTAGCGAAGTGACCCATCTCCCCGCATGTATAACATCTCTTACTATCCCCTTTTTGTTCTTGATCCGTCTTTTCTAATAACTTATCCATCGCCTTGGTCAAGGTCTCGATCCTTCCTTCTAATGCTACTATTCTCTTGTCACCTTTCTCCTTATCTGCCCTCTTGACCTCCCGCTCCCCGACCATGGTCTCTACATTCTCCTCAATCGCCGCATTGACCACCCTCCGCTCAAGTCGGCCATTGCATTCGATTTCGATCAACTCCTCCGCCTCAGCAATGCCAAAAGCCTCATTCAACGTTTTCAGGGCTGTCCTCATCACATTAATACTTGTATTTCCCCTCAATCCTTTAATAAACCGATCAAGGATCATGTCATCCCGCATTAGGTTAATTTTGTCGTTGTCCTTTGTGGCACGGGCGAGCAAAGTTCTAGTGTGGATCGAAAAATCTGTCACTGCCTCATTTCCCCCTTGCTTCAGGATCAGCAATTGATCTATGATATCCTTATCGCTGGCCCCTTTTTTATCAAAGCATTTTATTAGGTCCTTCTTTATCTCACAATATGACCCAGGATACTGCTCTAACAAACAAAAAAAAGTTGTTAGCGGCTCTCCTTTAAGCCTTGCCTGCAGCACTGCCACTTTAACCCCGTCGTCCCAACCTGCGAGCTGCGCTATGGTTTCTATTGTCTGAAAGAATTGTGGGTTGGGGTGAGCACTCTCTCCCGAGCTTGAAGAACCACCCACTATATTACTAGTAACCATTACAAAGTATGTATATAAACACAACAAATAAAGGAAAACACCACAGAGATAACACAAATTATATACTAGTATACTATCTGAGGTAGCACACTATACAAAAGACGAACCGTACAGCCTTTTACAGTTGGAATTCTGTCGCGGATGCCATTGTGATGTTCCGTTTGAGGGCAATGTATTATTGCAAACAGGAAACAAACAAAACGAGTAAGAATACTAAAGATTTTTATTCTCAAACACAGGTTCTTTAAAATGATTCCAACTTATAGCCTATTGGGTTCGATGTACATAAGATAATCGTCTACACTAACAATTTTCTGTGGTGGCAACCGACACATGACAACGGAAACAAAACACGTGGGGGCGACTTATAACTAAAACTTAACCTACTTACAAACTAAGGAAGGAGAAATAAAATATAGATAATGATAGGAGAATAAAAGGGAAAATACCCGGAATTTTTCTGTACCACATGGTCTTGGATGATTCACCGTCTTGAATCTTTAAATGGCTCCAGACCTTAATTTCTTTCCTTTTATGAACGTCTACGTTTTCTGGGGTTGTCTTGTGGTCTTCCTGCTTGTTGTTACTTGAATTTGGGGAAACTCGACTTCTTAGCAGCGGTCCTACGTTACTCTATAATTCAGCCGTCTCTTACAAGGTTCCGACACCTCTGATCTCTCTCTAGGCGATCAAGGTATGACCTTCCTTCGGCCTTCTTTCGCAAGGTTTCTCTCACTCCTTGCTCGACTCCTTGGTCAGGACCGCACTTGTTTCTCCGTCCTCTCTCGACGAAGTCCCAGTTTCTTCTCACTTTCTTCCACTTCCTTTGTCCCTAGGGGCTTGTTGTTCCTTTTGTCTCTTGACATTGTTTCACAGAATCGGTGATGTCACCCGAGGGAATAGGGATTAAGGGAGAAAGTTCTAGAACAGATAAGACAAAAGAACAAAGGAAATACTGAGCCTAGCTAAAGTTAACAAAAATATATATATATAAACTATGGCCGATGGCCACAACCGCGTAAGTCGAATTCGAGTAAGTCGGATATAATTTCGCAATTTGTGTAAAATCCAAATCGGATGTATGTAAGCTAATAAATGTTCTCGTTAATCTTATCTCGTGTTTTGATTTGTTTGTGGTTACAAGAAATCACCACATAGTCTCTCTTAAGTCTCCGTAGATATAACAACACAGAACTAAATAACACAAAATAAATTGTGGCTATGTGTCAATTCCACATGACATGTCCGAACATGTAAGCTGAATAATAGTGTGGGGGAAGTGAGTAATCAAGAGTTGCGTGGCGCTCAAACAAAAGATGAATCAATGAGATTTGAAAATCGCGTAAGTTGGGGTAGCATAAGTCGAGTGCTATGTATTGCAGCGCCATCTCTGGCAATTCTTAAATGTATATACAGTCGACCCCCCTATAATTACGGTCCCTATAATTACGATTCCTATAAAACTACGAAAAAATTGTGACCGGTATTCGTAAAAAACAGTAAAAATTCCCTATAATTACCTCAAACATCATCGGGCAGCCGAACTACTTTCCCACCGTCCGTAGCGCCACGCTACGGAGAGATTTCTATCGTCTGGAAAGTATTATATAAATTATATATAAATTAGGTACTGTACATATAATTATATATTAATTATATATAAATTAGGTACTGTATATATAATTATATATTAACTTATTGTAACTTTGTTATAATTAAATATATAATTTCCGCCGTCTAGCGTGGCGCCACGCTACGGAGATTTTTACGCTAACTATCGTCTGTCAGTATGTAAATTAGGTACCGTAAGTCTAATACAGTACTGTAATTTTATACATTTCTTGTGAAAGAAACATTTCTTATTCAACGGCGATTAAAATTATTTATATTAATGATGTCTCCGAAGTTCTACGAAGTTTTCACAGAAAAATAAGTTGTTAGAAATCGGCCGCTGTTTGCTGAGCTGTTCCGCGACGAAAACAATGTTGAGCAATGGCGATGTCGAATGGTGACACTCGGTAAGTAATCCTACAATTTTTTATTTATAGCGTAGTTTATACGGATTATTTCCAAAAAAAATATACGTATTTTGGAAATGTTGAGTCGGATTAGTCTAGAATGGATTAATTTTATGGAAGAAACCTTTCAATCAGCCGTAGTCCGTAAACTTGACACGTGTCGGGCTGTGATTGGAACGACTCGTAAGAAATTGGATTCCTAAAGAATGGAACGTATCTATATCTTATAGGGGGGTCGACTGTAGTTAGTAGCGTGCCTGCACACCACATTCAGTTCTGTACCATTTCTTGTTCAATAAAGACGTGCTTGTTTACTTGTTCAATAAAGACATGCTTATTTACTTGTTCATAAGAATCCATCTCCATCCTTCTTAATCTAATTCTGACGACTATACATACCATCGAGGTATTACTGTATCTTTTAAAAATTCAATATGAGTGTAAAGATTGTAATGTGGCATTCTGTTCATATCTGTGTTTTAGAATTTTTCATACAAAAATCAAATTTTAATTTATTTGCAAAGGTATTTTAAGTATTTGTTTCTGGATTTTATGCATATATATTTTAACATATGTTAAATGATTTATATAAAAATTGCTGCATTTCCATTTGTAAAATAACTTAGAAAAGTTTTCTCAATGTATGTAACATTATGCTTAAAGTAAAACAAAACTTAGCCAACTATTGCTGACAGGTGCAGAATAACTTGACCTTGAACAGACTAATAAAATATGTGGTTTACAATAAGCCAGTAGCATTGATAGGTTGTGCTATATTATGAAAAGAAGAAAATGATCTAAAAAATAAGTTTTTCAGAATATTGTAGAAAATTTAGTAAGGTAGAATAATCAGAGGTACAATGAATTGTAATACTTTATTATTCTAGTGACACATTTAATTTAGAGAATAGTGTTTGTTTTATCTTTTACAATTGTAAGCATATTGTAATTTTGAATAAACTTTATATATATATATATATATAATAATTGAGGTTTTAAGCAAATAGAAACAATAGCTCTTAAGAAGTTAATGTTTTAATAATTCTCTGAATATATTCTGATTTAATATTTTATACCTTGCAATAAAAAAACAAAGTTAATAATCATTCAAAAACCAAATCAATAATAATACTTTGGTATAAAAATAATATCAATTATTCAATATTAAATTAAAATTTTTTACATATTTAAATCAAATATAATTAAATATAAAAA